ATCCCTCCGCTCCGGGGGCCTCGCCAAGCCGCCGGCTCCCGCAGGCTGGGAAGCGCCTGCCCCCGCCCCCTGCCTCTCCCCGAACCCCGGCGGAGCAAAGTTGTGGACGTGTCCGGGTCGCCCGGCCAGGGCTCTGTCGCGACCCCGCGGGTGGAGCGCGCTCCGAGCAGGGCTGTCTCGCCGCCCCGCCGCCGCCTTGCCCCCGGAGCCGGCGCTCTGCAAACTGCTTCCGAGGCTGAAACTTTGGGCTCCGGCGAGCGCAGGAGGGAGACCCGAGGACCGAGGGCGGCCCGGCGCGGGGACGGCATGTGACGGCCGTTGCGGGGAGGCAGGCGAGGCTGCGACGCGCGGCCGGGCATTGCGGGCCCGGGCCCCGAGCCGCGCCGCCCCGTTCGCCCGGGCCCCGCTCGCCCCCGCGCGGGAGCGCTCGCTGCAAACTCCCTGAACTTCGGGGACGGTCCCCGAAGCGCCGAAACTCGGGGTTGGCGGCTCTGCCCTGCAACCCGTGCTCCGGGCGGCGCCCCTGCACGCTGGTCCTCTTCCTTCGCCCCCTGAGGACACGTGCGTGGACTCCGAGGACCTCGGGGCTTCCAGGCGGAGCTGACGGCCCCCAGACCCACTCCGGGCCACGATGCACATGAGGAAAGTGCCGGGCTTCGTCCCGGCCTCCCCGTGGGGGCTGCGGCTGCCGCAGAAGTTCCTTTTCCTTCTCTTCCTCTCGGGCCTCGTCACTCTGTGCTTTGGGGCCCTCTTCCTGCTGCCCCATTCCTCTCGCCTCAAGCGCCTCTTCCTGGCGTCCCGGACTCAGCAGCCTGGCCTGGAGGTGATGGCCGAAGTCGCCGGCCACTCCCCGGCCCGCGAGCAGGAGCCACCCCCTAACCCGGCCCCCGCGGCGCCGGCCCCGGGCGAGGATGACCCCGGCAGCCGCGCGGGTCCCCGCCGCAGGAAGGGGTGGCTGCGGCGCACCCGCCCCACCGGACCCCGGGAGGAAGCCACGGCGGCCCGGGGCAGCAGCGGCGTTGCGGCCCCCAAGCCGGGCGAGGAGAGCATCCCATTCAGCTTTGACTTCAACGCGTTCCAGAGTCGCCTCCGCCACCCAGTCCTGGGGACGAGGACTGATGAAAGTAAGGAGCCCCAGAGCCGAGTGCGAGCCCAGCGGGAGAAAATCAAGGAGGTAAGCGTCCTGCCTCCACTCCCACTCCGAGGAAAGATCTTCTTGACTCCCATGCATTTCCCTGAGCCCAGCCCTTCCTGGCGCCCGGGTCTACTGTAGGCCCCTCAGACACACTGCAGCCTGCTCCCTCGTCCCAAACTTCCCATCTTCCCTCCCTGCACACTTTCTCAACGGGCTTCAGTTGATCATCCTCACCTCCCGGAGTGGCCGCTGAACCCCCGGACCAGCTAACTTCCCACAGCTCTCAGACTGGTCTTTCCTGCTCAGTCCCCAGCCCAGATGGGTTCTAGTACTTCCCTCGGTAGAGCTGCTAGTGAAAGTGGAGTTCAGATTCTTAATGGGGACCCTGGAACCACTGGAAATACTCATTGTCACCGTGTGTCTCTACGTCTTGACTTCTCCCATACCCCGGTAGGACCTGCCACCCAGAAACCTATTTGAGGGCTATTTGGTGTCCTGCCAATATTTAGTAATCTAGTCAGCACCCTACAGACCAGAGATGTTGTTCACTGCTGCTGTTTCTATTGAACTTGGGAACAATTGTACGTAATTGCATGTGATGCAGGAGGGAATGATCGATAAGACGGTGGTAAACGTTACAGCAGCTCTGAGGTTACTGGCTTGATGAAGCAGGCCTTGGACTGGTTCCCTGTAGGGATTGTGCCAGGGAGGAATTTAGAAGGGTCACTTTGAGTCTGAGTCTCGGTTTAAGAAATCCAAAACAAACACAGCCTTACAGTGGCTTGAGGACAGTTGTCAGGTGGCCACTGGTGCCTATTCTACTCCACCACTGTTCCAGCAGCCTACATGAGGTATGTGCCCAGCAATGCAGAGGGGGCTGCAGTGACACCCCCAGGCCACCAGGGGGCTGCGGACAAGCAGTGGGCCAGGGTCTCTTCCCTAGAAACCAGAGGATGCTCTCCCCTCCCCCATGGGCCCAGAAGGAAAGAGCTGCTTCAGTCTGGACCTTTTGCTTTGCTGAAGGGAGCCAGCAGGTCTGCTCTGATTTCTAGGGACAGCAGGCAACAAGGGTCAGGATTTGCCCTGCCAAGATATCCATACAGCTGGTGGAAAACTTGGCCGTCCCTTTCCCCTTATCTGAACTCGCCTCCCTCCCAGTGCCCACCTCTCTCCCATTTATCTCTGCTCTGACTCAGCCACTCTGTGCTGCGCCCTACTTGACTAGCAATCCCAGGACATTTTGTGAGGTTAAGATAGGATTCCACGAGAAGCTGAGTCCTTTGTGTGTGTGTGTGTGTGTGTGTGTGTGTGTGTGTGCACGCGCGCATGCCTCTCAGTTTTTAAATTCTCGTTGAAATCTCGAAGGTTAATTGAAGGCTAGAACTTGCAGCCACTAAGTAAGGAGCATCGCTTTTCCCCTTTTTCTTAAGGAACTGTGGTGTTCACAGTTCACCTGGACCTCCCGCAGCTGGCTGTCTCAAAGCTCCCTCTGAGTGCATTAGCTCTTTCTGCCCTTCTGGACCTCCTGGGAGGACAGTAACTCTGAGTGAAACTGCATATAAACTGCATGTGTGCAGCTTTTCATGGGATGTACAGAACTGCTGTCAGATTTTCCAAGGGATCCCTGAAGGATTAAGAATGAACTGCTGTCTTCCTCAGAAGAGGTGCATGCGACCCATTTCTGAAAGCCTAGGGTTGGAGCATTGGTAGGAGGGGAAGGTTGGCTACTGGGGAACTTGACTCTTCCTCTGTCTATAAGGCCAGCCTTCTCTGCCAGCAGGAGCTGGGAGTGGTAGCAGGTGTGTGAGGACTGTCTTTGCAGGTGGGTATAAAATGGCCTGATAGGGGGGCTCCATGTTCATCGCCAGTCGTCTGGATCTGTGACCCTGTAGTAGCAGGAGGCCTGCATTTATCTGCAGCTGGTCTTCAGCAGTCCCTTCGTATTACCTTGAAGATGGTAAGCTCCTTAGAGTGGAGAGGCTGGTCCATGTACACTGTTACGTTGTTCTTTTGCTTTTCTTTTTTTAACACTGTTATGTTTTGAAGCCTGATGTGTCTTTAGGTTTCTTGAACCTGAAAACTGTGGGGCAGAGTCGTTGGCTTAGATGTTAACACAGGGTTGCCATCCCTGACGTCCCACCTGGTAAGGAATGCACAAGGTTCCTGCAGGGGGGCATCTTTATTTCTGTCTGCTTTAAATTTCTCCCTATGTTGTGCCTAGGGAAGATCATTTTAGAAAGGTGCCTGTTTTTACAAAAGGAACGGTGGCATTCATTTCTGGTTTGTTTCCTTCTAGACATGGATTGATTAGACCCGAGGAGCAGAAGGGGAGCTAGAATCAGATACAAAGGGCCCTGTTCTTATAAGATTAGGTTTTTAAAGTGAAAATAAATATCAAGACGGAGTCAGAGATGGTGATAAATGAGAGTGAATAGCAAGTGGACACCCAGACTCTTATCTCAACAAAGGATATTTATGAGCATTCCAGTGTGAGAGATGGGTGTGGGCAGGAGGTCTGTGCTGATAGGATGGGATGGGCCAGGGATACAGCTCGATGGCATAAGCGCCTGCCTGGCAAGCGCAAGGTCCTGAGTTCCATTCCTGGTACCAAAAGTAAAAAAAGATTTAAGAAAAAGATGGGTTGAAAGTGCAGGTTCTGGGTGTACGTGCGTCAGGAAACTTTTCACTAGGACCAGTTCTTTTCTTTAATAACCCTCCCCAACCAATTTTGGAAGCTTGGAGAAAGCAAAGTGGTACAGAGAACATGGGTTGGATCTCAGCTCAGCTGTCAACTCCCTGACTTTGGGCAAGGTCCTTCTTGGATCTTCCTGTCAAATGGGGTGAGGGAGAAGCAAGTAGCCAGTTGTGGACACTGTGGCTTCAGCACTGCCTCCCAAGGGAGCTGTCAGTGTGGTCTGGGACTGCTTAGCAGTCGGACTTTCTCTGTTCCACGAAGTCAAGGACAGTAGTGTTGTGGTGGTGTTGATGCAGTGTTGGTGATGATGTCATCCCTACCACTACCCATGAGTAGATAAGGAAATATTTATCAACTATTCCTGGCACCCGTAATGAACTTTGGAGATGAAATTGAACAGATCCTCAGTTGGGATCATGAAGAGAAAAGGTGATGGCTCGAATGTAAAGGGAGAAAGCTTGTTAGCGGCTTTCCTTTCAGACCTGAAGATCATAGAGGGAATGGGGTCCTTTGCCCACGGGTAGATTTCTTCCTGATTCAAGTTGAGACTTTTCTCAGACATGACACAAGTTGTAAATATCTAGCTTGTTGGGCTAGATCTCAACAGAACAATTCACACTGTCCTGGGTCCAGCTAAAGATGGTTGGTTGCTGATATAGGTCCAGCTAAAGATGGTTGGTTGTCCCTTCCAGTGAAGGGGCTTTTTGTTGAAGGGAACCAGGCAGTCTGGGGCTTAGAGTACAGGGTACTGGCAGTGGGGCTTGCCCTCCAATGTGGTGCTCTTGGATGACCTGTAGAAAGGGCCGCCGCTCTGGTTAGATGCAGCCGCATCCTGAGGTGCTGGGCCGAGCAAGAAAAACATGGGTTAAATTTCACCACCTTCATTTTGTACTCAGTGCAGGGTTCTCATGCACCGCGCGTGCAGCAGTCCTCCAAAAATCCAACCAGAGTCTCAGGCCATCCACTCTGACCTCAGGGAAGGTTGTTTATCACTGGACCCCCATCTTCATGGTAAAAGCACAAGACCAGCATTTGGGGGTGTTACCTCTCTTCCCCACCACTGCCTGTTTACTCTTTTGTTTATGAATGTGTCCTAGGACCTAGAAGGGCAGTAAGTTGTGATCTGACGTTACATTGGCGCCCACATATTTGAATGAATGGCTGCATTAAAGATCTATAAACTGAGTTAAAGTTGCTGGTAGCAGAGACAGAGTCCTCTCCCTCAGGAGACATGGAATTCTAAGGAGGCTCGGAGTACCAGCGACAGCCAGGTTCAGGGGCTTAGCATCCCACTGGCCCAAAGGTCGCGGTAACATTCTGAGTGCAAGGCCGTCTCGGTGTGTGTGGGTACGTTTGTGAGTCGAATCTCTCACGCCGGAGCAGCAGGCCTCGGGAAGGTGCCTTGAGTCACACCGCAGTTCATGTGACTTGGCAGGGAGTGCCACAGCACTGGCCCCCTATGTCTGCCGAGCCAGGCCTCCAGGGTATTGCTGGTCCGATACGTGGTGGTGTCTGAGTCATCTTGGCAAGTGATCTTTGCTCCCCATTAATGGGCTGCTTCGTTAGTCATGTGTGCTTTCTTTGTCTCTCTGATTTATCCTCACTGGTACCAGGGAACAGGTAGGAAAATTAAAAGGTGTTGTGTTCTTTGTAGCATGTGCATCAGAGCCTGTGAAATATTTAAGATAATTAATATTAGGACTAGCTTTGATTTCATAGCTTCCCCTCAGAGAGCTCTGAGTTGCAGATCCATTGAAGATCTTTTCTCCCTTCCCTGTACTTTAGTTTCTTTCGTTCCCTCCCGTCTTGCGTTTAACATGAATGGGAACTGGCGCTAATGACCAGGGAGGTCCCTTGGGAGACCCTTACATCCTCAGCCCAGTCACAACCCCCCTTCTTTCTCTTTAGATCTGAGGGCTGCAGTTAGAGCAAGGCTTAGGACAGGTCCCTACCAGCTGTGCAGCTCAACACCTGCAGGTCGGTTGGGCTTTCTACTTTCATTTCGAGTCGCACCATCATTCTGGGGGAATCAGGCATTCCAGGAGCAACTGGTTCTCAGGCCTCACATCCTTAATTGTGTCTTTAGTGTTAGGGCAGGAAACAAATACAACGATGACTTTGAAAAGTCAACCGCTTATTTCACAGTACAGTTAGCAAGGGGGGTAAGAATATAGATTCCCCTGTGGTTTTCAGAGTGACTGATTTACATCGGAGTTCAAGAAATGCCTTTTCTCTAGCTTTCCAGGAAGACTGATCCATTACTTTACCAAAAATAAATATTGTGATATATGTTAGGCATACTTCCTTCAAAGGGACTTACATCTTTTCTCTTACTGAAGAATGT